AGACCCTCTCAAAAAGTCCCTCTCAAAAAGTCCCTCTCAAAAAGTCCCTCTCAAAAAGACCCTCTCAAAAAGTCCCTCTCAAAAAGTCCCTCTCAAAAAGACCCTCTCAAAAAGTCCCTCTCAAAAAGTCCCTCTCAAAAAGTCCCTCTCAAAAAGTCCCTCTCAAAAAGACCCTCTCAAAAAGTCCCTCTCAAAAAGTCCCTCTCAAAAAGACCCTCTCAAAAAGTCCCTCTCAAAAGTCCCTCTCAAAAAGACCCTCTCAAAAAGTCCCTTCAAAAAGTCCCTCTCAAAAAGTCCCTCTCAAAAAGTCCCTCTCAAAAAGACCCTCTCAAAAAGTCCCTCTCAAAAAGTCCCTCTCAAAAAGGGCCCTCTCAAAAAGTCCCTCTCAAAAGTCCCTCTCAAAAGTCCCTCTCAAAAAGTCCTCTCAAAAAGTCCCTCTCAAAAAGTCCCTCTCAGAAAGTCCTCTCAAAAAGTCCCTCTCAAAAAGTCCCTCTCAAAAAGACCCTCTCAAAAAGTCCCTCTCAAAAAGTCCCTCTCAAAAAGACCCTCTCAAAAAGTCCCTCTCAAAAAGACCCTCTCAAAAAAGTCCCTCTCAAAAAGTCCCTCTCAAAAAGTCCCTCTCAAAAGTCCCTCTCAAAAAGTCCCTCTCAAAAAGTCCCTTCAAAAGACCTCTCAAAAAGACCCTCTCAAAAAGTCCCTCTCAAAAAGTCCCTCTCAAAAAGTCCCTCTCAAAAAGTCCCTCTCAAAAAGACCCCTCAATAAAGACCCCCTTTATGATGTATATATAATAATAATAAATAATAATAATATAATAATAATAATAATAATAATAATAATAATAATAATTATAATAATAATTATAATAATATATAATAATAATAATAATAATATATATAATAATAATATTAATAAATAATTAATAATAACAATAATTATAATAATAATAAATAATAATAATAATAATAATATATAATAATAAACAATAATATATAATAATAATAATAATTAATAATAATAAATAATATATAATAATAAATAATAATAACATAATTATATAATAAATAATAATAATAATTAATAATAATAATAATAATAAAAATAATAATAATAATAATAATTGATGATAATAAAATATTTATTAATTATAAATTTATTTAACAATACAGAGACAAAAACTTAAAATTAACGATGACAAGAAAATGTCGGTCCAGAATTGTACCAAAAAACTAAATGGCCCAGAAATGGACCAATAACCTTGAAAATGGCCCAGGGATGGACCACAAACCTAGAAAATGGCAAAATATATTAAAAATGGCCCAGGAATGTACCAATAACCTTAAAAATGGCCCAGGGATGGACCACAAACCTAGAAAATGGCGCAAGATATTTAAAAATGGCCCAGGAATGGACCAATAACCTTGAAAATGGCCCAGGGATGGACCACAAACCTAGAAAATGGCGCAAGATATTTAAAAATGGCCCAGGAATAGACCAATAACCTTAAAAATGGCCCAGGGATGGACCACAAACCTAGAAAATGGCCCAGGAATGGACCAAAATATTTAAAAATGGCCCAGAAATGGACCAATAACCTTAACAATGGCCCAGGGATGAATTACAAACCTAGAAAATGGCCCAAGAATGGACCAAGATATTTAAAAATGGCCTAGGAATGGACCAATAACCTTAAAAATAGCCCAGGGATAAATCACAAACCTAGAAAATGGCCCAAGAGCGGACCAAAATCTTTAGAAATGGCCCAGGAATGGACCAATATCCTTAAAAATTACCCAGGGATGGACCACAAGCCTAGAAAATGGCCCGAGAATGGACCAAAATCTTTAGAAATGGCCCAGGAATGGACCAATATCCTTAAAAATTACCCAGGGATGGACCACAAACCTAGAAAATGGCCCAGGGATGGACCATAAACCCAGAAAATTACCAAGAGATTGACTACAAGCCTAGAAAATGGCCAAGGGATGGACCACAAACCTATAAAGTGGCCCAGGAATGGACCACAAGCCTAGAAAATGGCCCAGGAATGGATCATAAACCTAGAAAATGGCCCAGGAATGGTCCACAAACCTAGAAAATGGCCAAGGAATGGACCACAAACCTAGAAAATTACCCAAGAATGGAAAACAAACATCGAAAATGGCCAAGAGATGGACCACAACCCTAGAAAATGGCCAAGGGATGGACCACAAACCTAGAAAATGGCCCAGAGATAGACCACAAACCAAGACAATGGCCAAACGACGGACCACAAACCTAGAAAATGGCCAAATGATGGACTGCAAGCCTAGAAAATGGCCAATGGATGGACCACAAAACTAGAAAATGGCCCAGAGATAGACCACAAACCAAGAAAATGGCCAAAGGACGGACCACAAATCTAGAAAATGGCCAAGGGATGAACCACAAACCTAGAAAATGGCCAAGGGATGGACCACAAATCTAGAAAATGGCCAAGGGATGGACCACAAACTTAAAAAAAGGCCCAGATATGGACCGCAAACCTAGAAAATGGCCAAAGGATGGACCACAACCCTAGAAAATGGCCAAGGGATGGACCACAAACCTAGAAAGTGGCCAAGAGATGGACCACAAACCTAGAAAATCGCCAAGGGATGGACCACAAACCTAGAAACTGGCCCAGAGATGGACCACAACCCTAGGAAATGGCCAAAGGATGGACCACAAAATCTAGAAAATGGTCAAAGGGTGGACCACAAACCTAGAAAATGGCCAAGGGATGGACCACAAACCTTGAAAATGGCCCAGAGATGAACCACAAACCTAGAAAATGGCCAAAGAATGGACCACAAACCTAGAAAATGGCCAAAGCATGGACCACATACCTAGAAAATGGCCAAGGGATGGACCACAAACCTAGAAAATGGCCAAGAGATGGACAACAAACCTAGAAAATGACGCAAGAATGGACCACAAACCTCGAAAATGGCCAAGAGATGGACCACAAACCTAGAAAATGGCCAAGGGATGGACCACAAACCTAGAAAATGGCCAAAGGATGGACCACAAACCTAGAAAATGGCCAAGGGATGGACCACAAACCTAGAAAATGGCCAAGGGATGGACCACAAACCTAGAAAATGGCCAAGGGATGGACCACAAACCTAGAAAATGGCCAAGGGATGGACCACAAACCTAGAAAATGGCCAAGAGATGGAGCACAAATCTAGAAAATGGCAAAGGGATGGACCACAAACCTAGAAAATGGCCAAGGGATGGACCACAAACCTAGAAAATGGCCAAGGGATGGACCACAAACCTAGAAAATGGCCAAGGGATAGACCACAAACCTAGAAAATGGCCAAGAGATGGACCACAAACCTAGAAAATGGCCAAGGGATGGACCACAAACCTAGAAAATTACCAAGGAATGGACAACAAACCTAGAAAATGACGCAAGAATGGACCACAAACCTCGAAAATGGCCAAGAGATGGACCACAAACCTAGAAAATGGCCAAGGGATGGACCACAAACCTAGAAAATGGCCAAAGGATGGACCACAAACCTAGAAAATGGCCAAGGGATGGACCACAAACCTAGAAAATGGCCAAGGATGGACCACAAACTAGAAAATGGCCAAGGGATGGACCACAAACCTAGAAAATGGCCAAGGGATGGACCACAAACCTAGAAAATGGCCAAGAGATGGAGCACAAATCTAGAAAATGGCAAAGGGATGGACCACAAACCTAGAAAATGGCCAAGGGATGGACCACAAACCTAGAAAATGGCCAAGGGATGGACCACAAACCTAGAAAATGGCCAAGGGATAGACCACAAACCTAGAAAATGGCCAAGAGATGGACCACAAACCTAGAAAATGGCCAAGGGATGGACCACAAACCTAGAAAATGGCCAAGAGATGGACCACAAACCTAGAAAATGGCCAAGAGATGGACCACAACCTAGAAAATGGCCAAGAGATGGACCACAAACCTAGAAAATGACCAAGAGATGGACCACAAACCTAGAAAATGGCCAAGGGATGGACCACAAACCTAGAAAATGGCCAAGAGATGGACCACAAACCTAGAAAATGGCCAAGAGATGGACCACACACCTAGAAAATGGCCAAGAGATGGACCACAACCTAGAAATGGCCAAGAGATGGACCACAAACCTAGAAAATGGCCAAGAGATGGACCACAAACCTAGAAAATGGCCAGGGGATGGACCACAAACCTAGAAAATGGCCAAGAGATGGACCACAAACCTAGAAAATGACCAAGGGATGGACCACAAACCTAGAAAATGGGCAAGAGATGGACCACAAACCTAGAAAATGGCCAAGAGATGGACCACAAACCTAGAAAATGGCCAAGGGATGGACCACAAACCTAGAAAATGGCCAAGGGATGGACCACAAACCTAGAAAATGGCCAAGGGATGGACCACAAACCTAGAAAATGGCCAAGAGATGGAGCACAAACCTAGAAAATGGCCAAAGGATGGACCACAAACCTAGAAAATGGCCAAGAGATGGACCACAAACCTAGAAAATGGCCAAGGGATGGACCACAAACCTAGGAAATGGCCAAGAGATGGACCACAAACCTAGAAAATGGCCAAGGGATGGACCACAAACCTAGAAAATGGCCAACCTGGATTAAAACTAATCTTACCAAATTTTAGCTAATCTAACCTAATTAGTTAATTTTCTTAAGGAGAATTAGAACACATTGTGGGTGGATTTGTGTGTGATAAATCTAAGCCAGGGTATTGTGGCTTGTTGCTAGTACTAGTATCTGATAAATCTAAGCCAGGGTATTGTGGCTTGTTGGTAGTACTAGTATCTGATAAATCTAAGCCAGGGTATTGTGGCTTGTTGCTAGTACTAGTATCTGATAAATCTAAGCCAGGATATTGTGGCTTGTTGCTAGTACTAGTATCTGATAAATCTAAGCCAGGATATTGTGGCTTGTTGCTAGTACTAGTATCTGATAAATCTAAGCCAGGGTATTGTGGCTTGTTGTTAGTACTAGTATCTGATAAATCTAAGCCAGGGTATTGTGGCTTGTTGCTAGTACTAGTATCTGATAAATCTAAGCCAGGGTATTGTGGCTTGTTGCTAGTCCTACTAGTATCTGGTAGATCTGGCTTGTTGCTAGTGCTAGTACAGTGGAACTCTGGTTTTTGCACACTATGAATATCATATAATTCAGATTTACAACACTTTATTGGGCAAAATTTTGGTTTGAATTTCATACCTCCATCCGGAAATTGTGCGTATCAGACGCGTCCACCCACCCGGGCACTCTCATGAGTACTGTCTCGGTAAGACTCTGTCACTGCAGATGAATGGTTCAAAGAACCGACACGTTGTTAAATTAGACACATGTGCAACTCTTGGGTATCTTTATGGAGGAAACGTTTTGCCACACAGTGGCTTCATCAGACCATACAAAGGATAAACTTGAAAGGGAGGGACTGATTACCTCATTCTCCTCCTGTTCTTCAAGTTTATCCTTTGTATGGACTGATGAAGCCACTGTGTGGCGAAACGTTTCCTCAATAAATTTAATTTAACAAGATTCTGTCACTGGTTGAGTGAGTATTCATCTGAAACATTTCACACTTTTTGTGCTTGTTTATTAATTGCGACTGTGAAATTAGCCACCATAGGCCCAAAGAAAGTTCCTAGTGCCAGCCCTTTGGTAAAGGTGAGAAACATGACAGAATTCAAGAGATTGTAGAGAAATGCAAAAGTGGCGTACGTTTAGACGAGCTTGCCAGGATGTATGGGAAGTTGAAATCAACAACCTGTTCCATCCTGGCAAAGAAAGTAGATATCAAGGAAGCTAAAGTTGCGAAAGGGGTAAATATGCTAACGAAACAGAGATCACAAACAAGAGTCAACAAAGGTATTCAATAAAGGTATGTAATTTTCATTTATCATTAAAATTATTCATTTATATTTATTTCTCATTGTTTTCTGTATGTAAAACTAGAGTTAGTCCTTAAAAAATGCCTTTTTTGTTAATATTTTTGGGTGTCTGGAACGGATTAATTGTATTTACATTATTTCTTATGGGAAATATTATTACAGTTTTCATACGTTTCGGATTTAGACGGACCTTTTGGAACGGATTAAGTACGAAATCCGGAGTTCCACTATATCTGACAGATCTAAGCCTGGAAATTATGGCTTGTTGCTAGTACTAGTATCTGATATATCTAAGCCAGGGTATTGTGGCTTGAATTCCTACTTAGTTCAGGTTAGTATTCTCTATAAATTCAAGCCAGTGGTATACCATTGGTAGTCAAAATGCAGCTGTATCCACAGACTATGCTATGCATATTATGACGACATTTCGCCCTCTGAAAGGGTTTGGGATAGAGCAAAACATGGCACGTCTTGCCCTGAAGACTGAACTTCATAAAGAATGTTGATGGCTACATTTCACTTTCTGAAAGGGCTTTCGATGGTAACATTTTGGCTCTGAAAGGACCTGCTAGCCTGGCTAGCAATCAAGAATGTGAAGGTAACAGTAGCTAGGAGTCTAGCAAAGGTAGATCACACTAGCTAGGAGTCTAGCAAAGTAGATCACACTAGCTAGGAGTCTAGCAAAGGTACCTCACACTAGCTAGGAGTCTAGCAAAGTAGATCACACTAGCTAGGAGTCTAGCAAAGTAGATCACACTAGCTAGGAGTCTAGCAAAGGTACCTCACACTAGCTAGGAGTCTAGCAAAGTAGATCACACTAGCTAGGAGTCTAGCAAAGGTACCTCACACTAGCTAGGAGTCTAGCAAAGTAGATCACAATAGCTGGGAGTCTAGCAAAGTAGATCACACTAGCTAGGAGTCTAGCAAAGTAGATCACACTAGCTAGGAGTCTAGCAAAGTAGATCACACTAGCTAGGAGTCTAGCAAAGGTACCTCACACTAGCTAGGAGTCTAGCAAAGGTAGATCACACTAGCTAGGAGTCTAGCAAAAGTAGATCACACTAGCTAGGAGTCTAGCAAAGGTACCTCACACTAGCTGGGAGTCTAGCAAAGTTGATCACACTAGCTAGGAGTCTAGCAAAGGTACCTCATACTAGCTGGGAATCTAGCAAAGTAGATCACACTAGCTAGGAGTCTAGCAAAGTAGATCACACTAGCTAGGAGTCTAGCAAAGGTACCTCACACTAGCTAGGAGTCTAGCAAAGTAGATCACAATAGCTGGGAGTCTAGCAAAGTAGATCACACTAGCTAGGAGTCTAGCAAAGTAGATCACACTAGCTAGGAGTCTAGCAAAAGTAGATCACACTAGCTAGGAGTCTAGCAAAGTAGATCACACTAGCTAGGAGTCTAGCAAAGTAGATCACACTAGCTAGGAGTCTAGCAAAGGTACCTCACACTAGCTGGGAGTCTAGCAAAGGTACCTCACACTAGCTGGGAGTCTAGCAAAGTAGATCACACTAGCTAGGAGTCTAGCAAAGGTAGATCACACTAGCTAGGAGTCTAGCAAAAGTAGATCACACTAGCTAGGAGTCTAGCAAAGGTAGATCACACTAGCTAGGAGTCTAGCAAAGGTACCTCACACTAGCTAGGAGTCTAGCAAAAGTAGATCACACTAGCTAGGAGTCTAGCAAAGTAGATCACACTAGCTAGGAGTCTAGCAAAGGTAGATCACACTAGCTAGGAGTCTAGCAAAGTTGATCACACTAGCTAGGAGTCTAGCAAAGGTACCTCATACTAGCTGGGAGTCTAGCAAAGTAGATCACACTAGCTAGGAGTCTAGCAAAGGTAGATCACACTAGCTAGGAGTCTAGCAAAAGTAGATCACACTAGCTAGGAGTCTAGCAAAGGTAGATCACACTAGCTAGGAGTCTAGCAAAGGTAGATCACACTAGCTAGTCACTGGAACAATCTCCTGGACCGTCAGAAGGGTCAGGAGTCCTGTGAAGATCACACTAACTAGTCACTGGAACAATCTCCTGGACCGTCAGAAGGGTCAGGAGTCCTGTGAAGATCACACTAACTAGTCACTGGAACAATCTCCTGGACTGTCAGAAGGGTCAGGAGTCCTGTGAAGATCACACTAACTAGTCACTGGAACAATCTCCTGGACCGTCAGACGGGTCTGGAGTCCCAAAATTGGGTGGCCGGATCTTCATCTGGAGCCAGCGTAGACTCGCCCATTTGTACTCTCTTGGACTCCAGTAGACCCATCCAACAGAGTCGAAGTCGTCAGAGTTCGTAAGGATTCCCGTAGGATTTGCGTTGTGGCAGACATTATACCACCAGCCGCCTTTGTACTCGTGGGCACAACTACCTGCAACAGGGATAAGATATGTTAGGATTTTTGACGTTAGAGAAGGACAACTAGGAAGGATGCCCTGGGGTAGGGAGGGTTAGCCACTCAGGGTAGGAAGGGTTAGCTAACCAGGATAACACAAGATAGGGAGTATTAGCCAGCCAGGATAACCCAAGAAAGTTAGTGGGTCATCAAGGACTCTTATTTTCATTGGATAGGCCTTAGACATTGATATGAAATGTCACCATGGTTGTCTAACACATTCTAACACAAAGTGGCAGCTGTCACAGCTGCATTTTGCTGATGACTCGGTGCTTTTGGGAGATTCTGAAGAGAAAAACAACGGTTGGTGGAGGAATCTCTGAGGGAACGTAAAGAAAAACACTAGGAAATGAACAATAACTATCATCCATGGCATCATTCTAGGCTTTAGAAGCAAGAGAGCAGGCTAATCTCACTCTTAATGACAGATTACCTTTGTGCTTGTCATTATCCTTATCTATGGTTGAAAACTGCATCCCACTGTGCCACAGGAGTCCATCTCCCAGAGTACTATTTGACGAGTACATCACTGCTAGTAACTTGTAGCTGTTGAAAAGAAGATGGATGTTAGTAGTGGCTAGTTTATTGTGTACCTTGTATCCATCCTATGGATAGTAGTGGCTAGTTTACTGTGTACCTTGTATCCATCCTGTGGATAGTAGTGGCTAGTTTACTGTGTACCTTGTATCCATCCTGTGGATAGTAGTGGCTAGTTTAGTGTGCCTCATATCCATCCTGTGGATGGTAGTGCAAGAGCATATGGATACACAATAGGCCTAGGAACTAACCCTTAAAAGGGTCAACAGGAGTTCATCTGGATATGTATCTACAGTTAACTTATCCGTTGCAAGCCAATTTAGTCAATTTTTGCTTAATATATCTGGTATCTTGTCATTAACAAGATATCTCGACATATAATATAGGTTATTATACTGTCTCTGTGTTTCTCAATATGTGGACCCTCATTGGCACATTATTTGAGCCTTACTCCTGTATTTTTTCCTCTTATTTATGGTGAATTGAATTAAGAAGTGCCCCATTAACTGCCTGAATTAAAAAATCGTACGAACATTAGGCGTGTATTTTTCCTTTTATTTATGATGACCTTTGGACTATGAACTATTCTGTTAACTGTCTGAATTAAAGGGTTTTCTGAACCCTTTTGTGTTAAGTTCTTTTCTCTTCATTAGCACCCCTGCCCATTACTGCCCCAGCCATACCCCATTCCTATCCATGCCCTTCCATGCCCTAGACTTACTTATGCGCCTCATCTTCCACTCTGAAGCGACCCCAGACGCCCCAACGCTTACTTCCGTTGAAGTCCTCAGCATCAACCCTTAGTACCTGGTCACCCTTGGCGGTCAGCTGGTGAACAAACTCATTACCTGTTCCAAAATAAAAATCAGAAAGCCAAAAGGAAATTTATCAAGTCAAAATCAAAATTTTGAAATGAAAATAAAATTTTGGAAAGCCAAAAGCAAAATTTAGAAAGTAATTTCACATTTAGATATCAAAATCAAAATGTCAAACTTAATCAAAGTTAAGAATTGGTTGGTTAGCTAAGTTTAAAGTCTATCTACTAGACAAGGGTCGGTAATAAAAGTACTAACAGCTATTACACTGTACTCCTATGTACTGTAGGTTAGTACAATGTACTCTAGAGTACTACTAGTTACTGCAACATCCTCTAATGTACTCCAGTGTACTCCAGTGTACTACCAGCTACTCCAGTGTACTCCAGTGTACTACCAGCTACTCCAGTGTACTCCAGTGTACTACCAGCTACTCCAGTGTACTCCAGTGTACTACCAGCTACTCCAGTGTACTCCAGTGTACTACCAGCTACTCCAGTGTACTCCAGTGTACTACCAGCTACTCCAGTGTACTCCAGTGTACTACCAGCTACTCCAGTGTACTACCAGCTACTCCAGTGTACTCCAGTGTACTACCAGCTACTCCAGTGTACTCCAGTGTACTACCAGCTACTCCAGTGTACTCCAGTGTACTACCAGCTACTCCAGTGTACTCCAGTGTACTACCAGCTACTCCAGTGTACTACCAGCTACTCCAGTGTACTCCAGGTGTACTACCAGCTACTCCAGTGTACTCCAGTGTACTACCAGCTACTCCAGTGTACTCCAGTGTACTACCAGCTACTCCAGTGTACTCCAGTGTACTACCAGCTACTCCAGTGTACTCCAGTGTACTACCAGCTACTCCAGTGTACTACCAGCTACTCCAGTGTACTCCAGTGTACTACCAGCTACTCCAGTGTACTCCAGTGTACTACCAGCTACTCCAGTGTACTACCAGCTACTCCAGTGTACTCCAGTGTACTACCAGCTACTCCAGTGTACTCCAGTGTACTACCAGCTACTCCAGTGTACTCCAGTGTACTACCAGCTACTCAGTGTACTCCAGTGTACTACCAGCTACTCCAGTGTACTCCAGTGTACTACCAGCTACTCCAGTGTACTCCAGTGTACTACCAGCTACTCCAGTGTACTCCAGTGTACTACCAGCTACTCCAGTGTACTACCAGCTACTCCAGTGTACTCCAGTGTACTACCAGCTACTCCAGTGTACTCCAGTGTACTACCAGCTACTCCAGTGTACTCCAGTGTACTACCAGCTACTCCAGTGTACTCCAGTGTACTACCAGCTACTCCAGTGTACTCCAGTGTACTACCAGCTACTTCAGTGTACTCCAGTGTACTACCAGCTACTCCAGTGTACTCCAGTGTACTACCAGCTACTCCAGTGTACTCTAGTGTACTACCAGCTACTCCAGTGTACTCCAGTGTACTACCAGCTACTCCAGTGTACTCTAGTGTACTACCAGCTACTCCAGTGTACTCCAGTGTACTACCAGCTACTCCAGTGTACTCCAGTGTACTACCAGCTACTCCAGTGTACTCCAGTGTACTACCAGCTACTCCAGTGTACTCCAGTGTACTACCAGCTACTCCAGTGTACTACCAGCTACTCCAGTGTACTCCAGTGTACTACCAGCTACTCCAGTGTACTCCAGTGTACTACCAGCTACTCCAGTGTACTCCAGTGTACTACCAGCTACTCCAGTGTACTCCAGTGTACTACCAGCTACTCCAGTGTACTACCAGCTACTCCAGTGTACTCCAGTGTACTACCAGCTACTCCAGTGTACTCCAGTGTACTACCAGCTACTCCAGTGTACTCCAGTGTACTACCAGCTACTCCAGTGTACTCCAGTGTACTACCAGCTACTCCAGTGTACTCCAGTGTACTACCAGCTACTCCGTGTACTACCAGCTACTCCAGTGTACTCCAGTGTACTACCAGCTACTCCAGTGTACTCCAGTGTACTACCAGCTACTCCAGTGTACTACCAGCTACTCCAGTGTACTCCAGTGTACTACCAGCTACTCCAGTGTACTCCAGTGTACTACCAGCTACTCCAGTGTACTCCAGTGTACTACCAGCTACTCCAGTGTACTCCAGTGTACTACCAGCTACTCCAGTGTACTCCAGTGTACTACCAGCTACTCCAGTGTACTCCAGTGTACTACCAGCTACTTCAGTGTACTCCAGTGTACTACCAGCTACTCCAGTGTACTCCAGTGTACTACCAGCTACTCCAGTGTACTCCAGTGTACTACCAGCTACTCCAGTGTACTCCAGTGTACTACCAGCTACTCCAGTGTACTCCAGTGTACTACCAGCTACTCCAGTGTACTACCAGCTACTCCAGTGTACTCCAGTGTACTACCAGCTACTCCAGTGTACTCCAGTGTACTACCAGCTACTCCAGTGTACTCCAGTGTACTACCAGCTACTCCAGTGTACTCCAGTGTACTACCAGCTACTCCAGTGTACTCCAGTGTACTACCAGCTACTTCAGTGTACTCCAGTGTACTACCAGCTACTCCAGTGTACTCCAGTGTACTACCAGCTACTCCAGTGTACTCTAGTGTACTACCAGCTACTCCAGTGTACTCCAGTGTACTACCAGCTACTCCAGTGTACTCTAGTGTACTACCAGCTACTCCAGTGTACTCCAGTGTACTACCAGCTACTCCAGTGTACTCCAGTGTACTACCAGCTACTCCAGTGTACTCCAGTGTACTACCAGCTACTCCAGTGTACTCCAGTGTACTACCAGCTACTCCAGTGTACTACCAGCTACTCCAGTGTACTCCAGTGTACTACCAGCTACTCCAGTGTACTCCAGTGTACTACCAGCTACTCCAGTGTACATCCAGTGTACTACCAGCTACTCCAGTGTACTACCAGCTACTCCAGTGTACTCCAGTGTACTACCAGCTACTCCAGTGTACTCCAGTGTACTACCAGCTACTCCAGTGTACTACCAGCTACTCCAGTGTACTCCAGTGTACTACCAGCTACTCCAGTGTACTCCAGTGTACTACCAGCTACTCCAGTGTACTCCAGTGTACTACCAGCTACTTCAGTGTACTCCAGTGTACTACCAGCTACTCCAGTGTACTCCAGTGTACTACCAGCTACTCCAGTGTACTCCAGTGTACTACCAGCTACTCCAGTGTACTCCAGTGTACTACCAGCTACTCCAGTGTACTCCAGTGTACTCACCCAGCCAGTACTCAGCTCCAACATCACCAAAGCCCATCTTGTACTCCTTCCAGGTCCTGGTGAAGTTTATCTGTTTGTCCTGTTGCTGTCTGTTGAGGAAAACAGTCCAGCCTCCCCCGTCTGTTGTGAGGTCACACCACACTCTCACAGCCCTACACCTGTGGGTGTAACAGGGTGTCAGATGGTGTATTGTGGGTGTAAGGTGTATTGTGGGTGTAACAGGGTGTCAGAGGGTGTATTGTGGGTGTAAGGTGTATTGTGGGTGTAACAGGGTGTCAGAGGGTGTATTGTGGGTGTAAGGTGTATTGTGGGTGTAACAGGGTGTCAGAGGGTGTATTGTGGGTGTGTAAGTTGTATTGTGGGTGTAACAGGGTGTCAGATGGTGTATTGTGGGTGTAAGAGAGTTTGTATTGTGGGTGTAACAAGGTGTGTGAGGGTGTATTATGGGTGAAATATAGTGTATATACACCGAGAGGTATACATCTCGGTGTATATACACTGAGAGGTGCATATCTCAGTGTATATACACTGAGAGGTGTACATATCAGTGTATATACACTGAGAGGTGTATATCTCAGTGTATATACACTGAGAGGTGTACATCTCAGTGTATATACACTGAGAGGTGTATATCTCAGTGTATATACACAGTGTATATACACTGAGAGGTGTATATCTCAGTGTATATACACTGAGAGGTGTATATCTTAGTGTATATACACAGTGTATATACACTGAGAGGTGTACATCTCAGTGTATATACACTGAGACGTGTACATCTCAGTGTATATACACTGAGAGGTGTACATCTCAGTGTATATACACTGAGAGGTGTATATCTCAGTGTATATACACAGTGTATATACACTGAGAGGTGTATATCTCAGTGTATATACACTGAGAGGTGTATATCTCAGTGTATATACACTGAGAGGTATACATCTCAGTGTATATACACTGAGAGGTGTATGTCTCAATGTATATACTGAGAGGTGTATATCTCAGTGTATATACACTGAGAGGTGTATATCTCAGTGTATATACACTGAGAGGTGTACATCTCAGAGTATATACACTGAGAGGTGTATATCTCAGAGTATATACACTGAGAGGTGTACATCTCAGTGTATATACACTGAGAGGTGTATATCTCAGTGTATATACACTGAGAGGTGTACATCTCAGAGTATATACACTGAGAGGTGTATATCTCAGTATATATACACTGAGAGGTGTATATCTCAGTATATATACACTGAGAGGTGTACATCTCAGAGTATATACACTGAGAGGTGTATATCTCAGAGTATATACACTGAGAGGTGTACATCTCAGTGTATATACACTGAGAGGTGTATATCTCAGTGTATATACACTGAAAGGTGTATATCTAAGTATATATACACTGAGAGGTGTACATCTCAGAGTATATACACTGAGAGGTGTATATCTCAGTGTATATACACTGAGAGGTGTATATCTCAGTGTATATACACTGAAAGGTGTATATCTAAGTATATATACACTGAGAGGTGTATATCTCAGAGTATATACACTGAGAGGTGTACATCTCAGAGTATATACACTGAGAGGTGTATATCTCAGTATATATACACTGAGAGGTGTATATCTCAGTATATATACACTGAGAGGTGTACATCTCAGAGTATATACACTGAGAGGTGTATATCTCAGAGTATATACACTGAGAGGTGTACATCTCAGTGTATATACACTGAGAGGTGTATATCTCAGTGTATATACACTGAAAGGTGTATATCTAAGTATATATACACTGAGAGGTGTACATCTCAGAGTATATACACTGAGAGGTGTATATCTCAGTGTATATACACTGAGAGGTGTATATCTCAGTGTATATACACTGAAAGGTGTATATCTAAGTATATATACACTGAGAGGTGTATATCTCAGAGTATATACACTGAGAGGTGTACATCTCAGAGTATATACACTGAGAGGTGTATATCTCAGTATATATACACTGAGAGGTGTATATATACTTACTCAGAGGGATATATTTCATATATACCACTCTCTGTAGCTCCCTCGTTCTGGTGTCCAGCACAGTCCTTCACTCTGTGTGAAAAAGATAAAGAAAAATGTAAAAAGATACCAAAAATATACTAAGAGATACCAAAAAGATAATAAATATACCAAAAAGATACTAAAAGATAATAAAATATATCAAAAAGATACTAAAAGATAATAAAATATATAAAAAAGATATTAAAATATAATAAAATATACCAAAAAGATACTAAAAGATAATAAAATATACCAAAAAGATACTAAAATATAATAAAATATACCAAAAATATACTAAAAGATAATAAAATATACCAAAAAGATACTAAAAGATAATAAAATATACCAAAAAGATACTAAAAGATAATAAAATATACCAAAAAGATACTAAAAGATAATAAAATATACCAAAAAGATACTAAAAGATAAAATGTACCAAAAAGATACTAAAAGATAATAAAATATACAAAAAAGATACTAAAAGATAAAATGTACCAAAAAGATACTAAAAGATAATAAAATATACAAAAAAGATACTAAAAGATAAAATGTACCAAAAAGATACTAAAAGATAATAAAATATACAAAAAAGATACTAAAAGATAATAAAATATACCAAAAATATACTAAAAGATAATAAATTATACCAAAAAGATACTAAAAGATAATAAAATATACCAAAAAGATACTAAAAGATAATAAAATATACCAAAAAGATACTAAAAGATATTAAAATATACCAAAAAGATACTAAAAGATAATAAAATATACCAAAAAGATACTAAAAGATAATAAAATATACCAAAAAGATACTAAAAGATAATAAAATATACCAAAATGATACTAAAAGATAATAAAATATACCACAAAGATACTAAAATATAATAAAATGTACCAAAAAGACACTAAAAAGATAAAAGATAATTAAATATTCGTAAAAGATACTGAAATATTCTAAAAATACAAGAGGGTTATTAAAAGATCATTAAAGATACTAAAAGATACTAAAAAGATAAGAAAAGATAATAAAATTATACTATAAGATATAAAAATATAAGAAAAGATAAGAAAAAAATAGTTAAAAATGCCTAAGACAAAAAAGATAACAAGAGATACTAAAAGATACCAAAAAAGATAATATAAAATATCAAAAGATAAGAAAAGATAACAATAGGATACTATAATATCCCAAAAGGTTAGAAAAGATACTAAAAGATACTAAAAGATACTAAAAGCTAAGCAAACATAGCAAAAAGATACCAGCTAGCACCAGTACCCACTTACCACCAGTACCCACTTAGCACCAGTACCCAGCTAGCACCAGTACCCAGCTAGCACCAGTACCCACCTAGCACCAGTACCCACTTACCACCAGTACCCACTTAGCACCAGTACCCAGCTAGCACCAGTACCCAGCTAGCACCAGTACCCACTTACCACCAGTACCCAGCTAGCACCAGTACCCAGCTAGCACCAGTACCCACCTAGCACCAGTACCCACTTACCACCAGTACCCACTTAGCACCAGTACCCAGCTAGCACCAGTACCCAGCTAGCACCAGTACCCACCTAGCACCAGTACCCAGCTAGCACCAGTACCCACCTAGCACCAGTACCACCTAACACCAGTACCCAGCTAGCACCAGTACCCACCTAGCACCAGTACCACCTAACACCAGTACCCAGCTAGCACCAGTACCCACCTAGCACCAGTACCCACCTAGCACAAGTACCACGTAACACCAGTACCCAGCAAGCACTAGTACCCAGCTAGCACCAGTACCCACTTAGCACCAGTACCTACCTTGCACCAGTACCACCTAACACCAGTACCCACCTAGCACCAGTACCCCGCTAGCACCAGTACCCACCTAGCACCAGTACCCACTTACCACCAGTACCCACTTAGCACCAGTACCCACCTAGCACCAGTACCACCTAACACCAGTACCCACCTAGCACCAGTACCCAGCTAGCACCAGTACCCAGCTAGCACCAGTACCCACCTAGCACCAGTACCCACCTAGCACCAGTACCACCTAACACCAGTACCCAGCTAGCACCAGTACCCACCTAGCACCAGTACCCACTTAGCACCAGTACCCATTTAGCACCAGTACTCAGCTAGCACCAGTACCCAGCTAGCACCAGTACCCGCTTAGCACCAGTACCCACTTAGCACCAGTACCCAGCTAGCACCAGTACCCAGCTAGCACCAGTACCCACTTAGCACCAGTACCCAGCTAGCACCAGTACCCACCTAGCACCAGTACCCACTTAGCACCAGTACCCAGCTAGCACCAGCACCCAGCTAGCACCAGTACCCAGCTAGCACCAGTACCCAGCTAGCACCAGTACCCAGCTAGCACCAGTACCCACCTAGCACCAGTGCCCACCTAACACCAGTACCCACCTACCACCAGTACCCAGCTACCACCAGTACCCAGCTAACACCAGTACCCACCTAACACCAGTACCCAGCTACCACCAGTACCCACTTCACACCAGTACCCAGCTACCACCAGTACCCACTTCACACCAGTACCCAGCTACCACCAGTACCCACTTCACACAAGTACCCAGCTAGCACCAATACCCACTTCACACCAGTACCCAGCTACCACCAGTACCCACTTCACACCAGTACCCAGCTACCACCAGTACCCACTTCACACCAGTACCCAGCTAGCACCAGTACCCACTTCACACCAGTACCCAGCTACCACCAGTACCCACTTCACACCAGTACCCAGCTACCACCAGTACCCACTTCACACCAGTACCCAGCTAGCACCAGTACCCACTTCACACCAGTACCCAGCTAGCACCAGTACCCACTTCACACCAGTACCCAGCTACCACCAGTACCCACCTAACACCAGTACCCAGCTTCCACCAGTACCCACTTCACACCAGTACCCAGCTACCACCAGTACCCACTTCACACCAGTACCCAGCTACCACCAGTACCCACCTCACACCAGTACCCAGCTAGCACCAGTACCCACTTCACCCCAGTACCCAGCTAGCACCAGTACCCACTTCACACCAGTACCCAGCTAGCACCAGTACCCACTTCACACCAGTACCCAGCTACCACCAGTACCCACTTCACACCAGTACCCAGCTACCACCAGTACCCACTTCACACCAGTACCCAGCTACCACCAGTACCCTCTTCACACCATTACCCAGCTACCACCAGTACCCACCTAACACCAGTACCCAGCTACCACCAGTACCCACCTAACACCAGTACCCAGCTACCACCAGTACCCACCTAACACCAGTACCACCTAACACCAGTGCCCAGTACCCACCTAACACCAGTACCCACCTATCACCAGTACCCAGCTAGCACCAGTACCCACTTCACACCAGTACCACCTAACACCAGTACCCACCTAGCACCAGTACCCACCTAACACCAGTGCCCAAATAGCACCAGTACCCACCTAGCACCAGTACCCATTTCACACCAGTGCCCAGTACCCACCTAACACCAGTACCCACCTAACACCAGTACCCAGCTAGCACCAGTACCAACCTAACACCAGTACCACCTTACACCAGTACTCAGCTAGCACCAGTACCCACCTAACACCAGTGCCCACCTAACACCAGTACCCACCTACCACCAGTACCCAGCTACCACCAGTACCCAGCTAGCACCAGTACCCACCTAACACCAGTACCCAGCTACCACCAGTACCCACTTCACACCAGTACCCAGCTACCACCAGTACCCACTTCACACCAGTACCCAGCTACCACCAGTACCCACTTCACACCAGTACCCAGCTACCACCAGTACCCACTTCACACCAGTACCCAGCTACCACCAGTACCCACTTCACACCAGTACCCAGCTAGCACCAGTACCCACTTCACACCAGTACCCAGCTAGCACCAGTACCCACTTCACACCAGTACCCAGCTAGCACCAGTACCCACTTCACACCAGTACCCAGCTACCACCAGTACCCACTTCACACCAGTACCCAGCTACCACCAGTACCCACTTCACACCAGTACCCAGCTACCACCAGTACCCATTTCACACCAGTACCCAGCTAGCACCAGTGCCCACTTCACACCAGTACCCAGCTACCACCAGTACCCACTTCACACCAGTACCCAGCTACCACGAGTACCCACCTAACACCAGTACCCAGCTACCACCAGTGCCCACCTAACACCAGTACCCAGCTACCACCAGTACCCACTTCACACCAGTACCCAGCTACCACCAGTACCCACTTCACACCAATACCCAGCTACCACCAGTACCCACTTCACACCAGTGCCCAGCTACCACCAGTACCCACTTCACACCAGTACCCAGCTACCACCAGTACCCACTTCACACCAGTACCCAGCTACCACCAGTACCCACTTCACACCAGTACCCAGCTACCACCAGTACCCACTTCACACCAGTACCCAGCTACCACTAGTACCCACTTCACACCAGTACCCAGCTACCACCAGTACCCACTTCACACCAGTACCCAGCTACCACTAGTACCCACTTCACACCAGTACCCAGCTACCACCAGTACCCAAATAACACCAGTACCCAGCAGTTCAGTAGTGGGTGTAGTGGGTGGTGTAGCAGTAACATTCCCACACACACAGTACCCACCTAGCACCAGTACCCAGCAGTTCAGTAGTGGGTGTAGTGGGTGGTGTAGCAGTAACATTCCCACACACACAGTACCCACCTAGCACCAGTACCCAGCAGTTCAGTAGTGGGTGTAGTGGGTGGTGTAGTGGGTGGTGTAGCAGTAACATTCCCACACACACAGTACCCACCTAGCACCAGTACCCAGCAGTTCAGTAGTGGGTGTAGTGGGTGGTGTAGCAGTAACATTCCCACACACACAGTACCCACCTAGCACCAGTACCCAGCAGTTCAGTAGTGGGTGTAGTGGGTGGTGTAGCAGTAACATTCCCACACACACAGTACCCACCTAGCACCAGTACCCAGCAGTTCAGTAGTGGGTGTAGTGGGTGGTGTAGCAGTAACATTCCCACA